CAGTTGTAACACATTTGTAAAGGGTTTCTAAGGCTTTAAAATCATTACAGAAGCAGAAAGCCTTATATTTTTCCCATGTAGTTGCTGGCAGGTTTGAACCGCCGACCTTAAGGTTTGCAGCCCACAATCAATGCTCATGAAAGCAAGAGTCAAGAAATTAAATTTACCTTGTGCAAATCTGCTGCTTCTGAAAAACAAACAAACAAAACAAAACAAAACAAAACAAAACAAAAAAACCTTTTAAAGTGTTAAGAAACAACTATGTCACTTTGAAGACTAAGGTATACCTGGCCCACATCACAGAATTTGCTATCACCTTGTTACGAATCAGGCTGCTAATCTTACAACCACAGTTCAAAACTACCAGCTGTTCCGCAGGAGAAAGATGAAGCTTTCTGCCCCTATAAAGATTTACAGCCTCGGAAACATTATGCAGAGTCTCTATGAGCCACAACCAATTCCACATAACAACAACAACAACAATGTGCATTCGGAGTGCTGGTGTGGCCCTGTGCGTTAATGCGCCAGACTGCAAAGCCATTTGAACTGCAAGATCAGAAGTTCAACCTCACCAGATGTTCCTCAGAAACTATATACAGGGTAGCTATGGGTCGGAACCGACTCAATGACACTTCACAACAACAACAACAATGTGCATTTATGAATAAGGCTGCAAAGCACAAGATCAGAAGTTCAAAACTACCGGTTATTCCATGGGAGAAAGATGAGGCTTTCTGCTTCTGTAAAGATTTACAGCCTCGGAAACCCTGTACAGAGTAGCTTTGAGTCAGAACTGACTCCACGGCACATAACCACCACCAATGTACATTTGAAATTATTAGACAATATCTTTGATATTCCATTCAAGTAAAGTTTTACTAAAGGTAATATAGAAACAGCTGCAAGCATATATTGACAGAGAATTTCCAGAAGTTCAAGCAAGATTCAAAAGAGGATATGTAACAAGGGATATCATTGCTGATGTCCAATGGATCTTGGCTGAAAGAGAATAGCAGAAGCATGTTTACCTGTGCTTTATTGACTAATCAACAGCTTCTGATTGTGTGGATCATGACAAGCTATGAACAACATTACAAAGTATGAGTATCCTTCAACACTTAATTGAGTTCATGAGGAATCTGTACATGGACCAAGAGGCAGTTGCTTGAACAGAACACAGGAACTCTGAGTGGTTTATAATTAAGAAAGGTGTGTGACAGGGTTGTATTCTTTCACCATACTTATTCAACCTGTATGTTGAGCAAATAATCTTATAAGATAGGTTATATGAAGAAAAATGTGCCATAAGGATCGGAAGAAAATTCATTAACAACCTGCAATATGCAGATGATACATCCTTGTTTGCTGAAAGTGAAGAGGACTTAAAATACTTACTGATGAAGATCAAAGACCACAGCCTTCAATATTGATTGCATCTCAATGTCAAGAAAACAAAAATCCTCACCACTGGATAAATAAACAGCGTTCTTATAAATGGAGAAAAATTAAATTTGCCAAGGACTTTATTATTCATCAACATTCATGGAAGCAACAGTCAAGAAATCAAATAATGTATTGCATTAGGCAAATCTTCTGCACAAGATCTTTTGAAAGTGTTGAAGACTAAAGATGTCAGCTTGAGGACTAAGGTGTGCCTGACCCAAGCCTTAGTATTTTCAATAACCTTATATGCATGCAAAAGCTGAACAGTGAATAAAGAAGACTGTAGAAAAATTGATGCTTTTGAGTTATGGTGTTGGAAGAGAATATTGAAAGTACCATAGGCTTTCAAAATAACAAACAGATTTGTGTTGGAAAAACTATAGCCCGAGTGATCCTTGAAGGCTAGGATGGTCAAACTTCTTTTTATCATACTTCAAACATATTTTCAAGAGGAACCAGTCACTGGAGAAGGATATCATGTTTGGTAAGGTGGTGGGACAGAGAAAAAGAGGAAGACACCCAACAAGATGGAATGGCAAAGTGGCAGCATCAATGGGCTCAAGAGAGGCAACAATTGTGAGGTTGATCCGGGAGCAGGCAGTGTTTCATTCTGTTGTGCATAGGGTCACTATGAGTTGGTACCAACTCGATGGTACATAACGACAACAAATATGCATGCTAATTTGAACCATAGGGTCCATAGTTCGAGCTCATCAGCTTCTACTTGAAGATACTATACAGGGTCACTATGAGTCAGAACCGATTTGACAGCACTCAATGACAACAATATGCATTTTGGATACTTGGTGTGGAACAGCACTGATCTGTGAACCACAAGGTCAGCAGTTCGAATCCACCAGGTGCTCTGCAGAAAGTGGTCGCTGTGAGTCAGGACTGGCTAAAAATCATTTAACAACAAAAACAACAATGATATGCATGTCAGATCTGGATAATGAATAAGGAAGAACAAAGTAGAATACATTCATTTGAATTAGGTGTTAGTGAAAAATGTCTAAAGTAACATGTTGGGTTAGAAGGACAAGCAGATCTGTTTAAAAAAGGACAACCAGAATATTCTTTGGAAGTGAGGATGGCAAAAATTCAACTCACGTACTTTGGTACTTTGGTAACGTTATCAAGATGAACCCTTTCCTAAAAAAAGGACATCATTTTTAGAGGTCAGAGAAGAGGACGAGTTTCAATGAAATGGACTGACAACATGGTTGCCAAAATGGGCTCAAACATATAAACTGTGAGCATGGCACAGGACTTGGTAGAGTTTGGTTCTGTTTCATGTGAGATGGCTATGAGTCAGAATTGACTTGATGGCATCTAACAATGATATTTTTCAAAATTAGTCATGGGACTAATGCCTAACATAACATAATTGAAAATTTTTACAAACGCACACAGTCTGATGTTAATCAAACATGAAATCAAGATGCATTGGTAATTACTAGTGATTAGAATTTGAAAGTTGTGAAATAAAGAGGAAATATCTGTAACTGGAAAATATGATAGAAAAGAAGTTGGAGATAACATGTAGAATGTTATAAGACTAAGAACTTCATTGAAAAAAAACCTTTTTAAAATAAATACATGGTTACTACACATGTTTACCTTGCCGATGGAATGCACAGGAATCAAATCCTGTATCTGTGCAAAAAGACAGTGGAGAAACGCATTGTGATTAGACAGAACAAGGCCAAAGCCAACTGCCAAATTGACCAGGAATAATTGCTCATATGCCAGTTCAAGTAGAAGATGAAAAACTGTTAAAACAAGGACATGAGAGTAGCAATAGAGTCCCGAGAATATTCCATTTTAATACAGAGATGATCTCAGAAATATACTTGATCAATGAATACTAATACTGAAGACTACATTAATCATGGGAAGACATAAAAGGCATCATACATATTGAAAACAAAACATTGTTCTGAAGACAGGGAAGAAAGAAAGATCAAAGTGTTGAAAGAATAGATAACTGATACTTGCTCTTCTTGAAAGTAGAATAGCAAAAGCTAAAGGAAGAAATGACAAAGTAAAACTTCGGACAGAAATTTTCAAAAGACAATTCAAGATAACAAAGTAAAATATTGCAAAGAAATGTACAAAAATACCTGGAGTTAGAAAACCAGAAGGGTAGAACACAGTCAGAATTTCTCAAGTTGAAAGAACTGATGAAATAGTCAAGACTTCAATTACAATATTGAAGGATTCAATGCACAACATATTGGATGGTACACTAAAGGAAGATAAAGAAAATACACAGTAACTGTACTAAAGAGATATTCAATCACTTCAGAGGTTAGCATATGATCAAGAACTTATTGTACTAAAGGAATATATTGAAGCCTACCTGAAGGCAATGGTGAAAATAAGGCTCTATGCATTGACAGAGTAACAGATGAAATGTTTCCACAAATGGATATGATGCTGGAGGTGCTCACTTGGCCATGCCAAAAATGTTGGACAGCTACCTGGCCAAATGAGTGGAAAAGATCCATATTTGCCAGCATTCCAGGAAATATGATCTCATGGTTTGTGCAGCTTATTTATCAATATCATTAATACCACATGCAAGTAAAATTTGCATATTGAGTATACCATGGATTGCCAAAAAGAAGAACAGAATGTTCCTTAGAAGCAAGGATGGTAACACTTTGTGTCAAATTCTTTGGATCTGTTGTGCTGAAGGACTAGTTTCTAGAGGACACTGGGCTTGGTACAGAAGAAAGTCTGCTCAAAAGAGGAAGAAATTCAACAAGGTGTCTTGACATTGTTGTTGCAAAATGGGCTCAAACAAAGCAAATATCATGACAAAGGTACAAGATCAGGCACTGTTTCCTTCTGCTGTATATATGGTTAGTATGAGTGTTAACCGATGTAAGGGTACCAAACAAGAAAAATGAGATTTATAACTTTCGGGAACAGAGTGAAAGAAAGAGAGAGATTGATTGACTGTTTTTTTTTTTTTTTTCTTTATTGCTTTGTTGTCTCTTGGAGCACCCTGGTGCTGATAGATGCCTGAGGCAGCTTCTCGCAAAATTTGGGCTTTTGGCAATTCTATAATTCACCCTGCCCTCAGATCAATTCTCACTGTGTTAAAATCCACTGTACCTCGAACACATAGTTATCTCAGTAAAATAATGAGCAACACACTGAAAATTGCAAAACCATCTGCATCTTCAAACCCTATTTTTGGGTAAGAGGGCAGAGATTACAGAATATCCACAATATTTATTAAGTGCTTATTATATTCAGACACTGTGGGAATTGCCTGAATATAGCTAATCATAAAAATCAACATTTTACAGACAGAAAACTGATTTGTTAGATTGAGTGATATATCCAACATCAGACCACAGTAAACACTAATACAGGGATGGACATCTTTGCACAAATTTTACTTGTTTTCTCTATTATTATATGAATGAGGTAAAGTTATTACATTTTCAAACATCATTTTATTTCATTTAACTACTCACACTGGGTTGTTCAAAGGTTATTTGTTTTCTTTTTATGAAGCACTGACGAGAAACGGTTGTCCTTACCTCACGGCACTACTGCCCACGTCAAGGTCTTGTGCAGTTACTGCCCCAATGATGGTCCCAACTGGAGTATCTTCATAAACGTCCATGGTGTATAGGGGTTTGCTGAACACCGGCGGCTCATCCACATCTAGCACGCTGATCTTCACTGTAGCTGTGTCTTTGAAGGGACCCACGGAGTGGAACCGGTGATCAAGGTTCACATTAGAGGCCTCTACTTTAAAAGTATAGGCCTTCTTGGTTTCAAAATCTAACAACTGTAGTAAAGACAAATCAAAAGAAATGAGAGACATTTACATAGAATATGCCAGAAATGGTGACTATTGTAATTTTTTAAATACTATTTTTTTCTTATATAATTAGTGGGGGGAGGGGAGAAGTCTAAGATAGATTTCTTTAAAAACTTTTCTTTACAACTTGTAATTGGTTGCATACATTAACATGACATAATATACATGTTATGGTTTATTCATTTTCTAAGAGCAAAGCTAGAACAAGATTCTGCACTTCTTTGCTCTTATCCAACACTGACATCTAGTGGAACAAAGAACACAAAAAACAGAACAAAGTTGCAAAATTGAAAATATTCTTTGGAAATCTCAGAAGAAAATCTGGTATAAAAAAATGTTTTGCTCTTGGATTACTTTTAAAAATGTCAATATTTTTTTCTTATTAAATACATTGTAACACCTAGATATTTTGGCCTAAAAAGGATTGTAATAGGACTTAGAACTACAAAGTGGCGATTGAAAGAGGGTTTTGTTTTGTTTTGTTTTTTGCATAGTATGAGTCCAGTGTTGTATACACCCAAACAATATATTATCAGGAATTCTGGATCTACAAGCATGAAAATAAAATAAAATAAAATAAAGAAGATTAGGAGTCCTGGTGTAGTACTGTGAGCTAATGCGTCAGACTGCAAAGTAATTTGAACTGCAAGGTCGGTGGTTCAAACTCACCAGCTGCTCTTTGGAAACCCTATACAGGGTCTCTATGGGTCAGAATTGACTCGACAACACTTAACAACAACAACAATGAGGCATACTATTTGAAAATCAATTCTCCTTGGAATCATTGATTATCAATTTTAGACCGAGCACTACTTACATTCACTCTTACTGTGGCTATTAGTCTTCTTTTAACAAGAACTGAAAACATTATAATTCAGAAATACGGTGTTGCTGGGGTGCTTTGTTTAAAGGGTAACTTTAAGGTCAATGGCTCTGACTCTTAATCACCTAAGCAAAAGAAGACACATTAATTTCACTTTAACCTATTGATTTTCTGGGACCTTACACAGTTTCTGTTTTCTAAAGCGATCCCTGCTCCCTTGACTCCAGTGAATAGCTACTTATTGTGTAAATACACCTCTTTCTTTGCCTTAGTACAGCTAGGAGAAATGAAGGTGACATATTTTTCTCCCTTCATCATCAGAATGTTGTATTATGCATTTCCTCTAATGAGGAAAAATAAAATAAAAAGAAATTACAGGTGCTATCTTAAAAAAAAAAAAAAAAAAAAAAAGAATCTCTGATAGCATAGTCTTTATGAGTTCAGCTGCTAACCTCAAGGTCAGCAGTTTGAAACTACCTGCAGTTCTACAGGAGAAAGATGAGGCTTCCTGCTCCCATAAAGATTTACAGCCTTGGAAACATATACAGTCGACACCATAGCACACAATCATCAATCATTATCAACATCCTAAAAAAACAATTCATAATTCTGTGGAGGTTATTTTACTAAAACATTAACATTTGTTAACAATCCAGTGCTTATCTTACTGTGCCACACCAGAATTCCATGTTTCCTTTAGTGGTGTCTGTATTTATCTGTGAATAAGGAAGACCATAGAAGAATTGATACTTTTCAGTTATGGTGTTTGAGGACAATATTAAAAGTGCCATGGGCTGCCAAAAGAATCAATAGATCTGTTTTAGAAGAAGTGCAACCAGAGTGCTCCCTGGAGTCCAAGATGGCCAAACGTCGTCTCTCATACTTCGGACATATTGTCAGGAGGGACCAGTCACTGGAGAAGGATATCATGTTTGGTAAGGTGGAGGGTCAGAGAAAAAGAGTCAGTCTCCTAACGAGAAAATATTTCCTTTTATTTTTGATATCTTTGCTTGTACATCTCATACCTGTTTACATATAATACCACTTTTCTTCAGATTCTATCACTTTCCTATTAGAATCTCAATATATCTTTGTTGTTGTTGTTGTTAAGTGCCATCGAGTCTGGTCCGACCCATAGCGACCCTGTACAGGGTTTCCGAGGTTGTAAATCTTTACGGGAGTAGAAAGCCTCATCTTTCTCCCGCGGAGCGGCTGGTAGTTTCGAACCGCTGACCTTAAGGTTCGCAGCCCGATTCGTAACCACTACGCTACCAGAGCTCCTTAAGAGAATATAAATAAAGAACAATAAATATAATATTGTTTTTAATGTTGTTAAGTGCCATCGAGTTGGTCCTGACTTATAGTGACTCTGTACAGATTTCTGAAGGAATGGCTGTTGAAATTGACCCGCTCACCTTGCAGTTCAAACTGACCCTGGAATTATCTTACAGTACCACACCACAACACTCCGTATACCATATATACATATCATATATGTAATATACCATATATACATATCATATATGTAATATACCATGTTTTATAATGTGGCCATTGGTGGTTGTTGTTATGTGCACTGGCATCGGTTCCAACTCATAGCGACTCTATACAGGGTTTCCAAGGCTGTAAATGTTTACGGGAGCAGAAATCCTCGTCTTTCTTCTATGGAACAGCTGGTATTTTTAAACTGCTGACCTTAAGGTTGTCAGCCCTGTTCGTAACCACTACACTACCAGAGCTCCTTTGGTTACAGAAATCTACATATAATATCTAGAAAAAGGGGATAATCTCACTGTGTGCTTTCTTTGATCAGCCCTTACCTTGACTGTTTTAATCTCCTAAGGGAATCAAATTCATTTAAAGATAGCAAATTGGCAGGATAGTAAAACTTAAGTCTCACCAAATGTAAGAAACTGCTACAATTATTGGAACTGTTTGCCCTAAAGATCAAAGGAAAAATAAAATATAGTTTCAAATACTCAAAGAGTTGTTATGTAGAATGTCAGTTTGGCTTATGCTATGAGACTAAGTACAGAATTACTAGTAATTTAAATTACTTGAAGCAATCTTATACATAAATTCATCGCAAATTGATGGAATTAAATTGCTGATAACCCATTTGGTGACAAATTATAGGATACATTGTAGCAGGACAAGGATACATGGTCAATAAACCATCCTTTCTCTCTGTATTCAACAGACTTGGAGAGGAGTCAGAAATATGTTATTTTGATTAATGAATGTGCTATTTAAAGAAGTACTAAGCTCTCCATTGTTTAATGTGCTTAGGAAAAGTCAGATACCTTGGAAATGTCTAAGACAGAGACTAATATAAGACACATGGGTGTACAAGCTTATTCAAATTAGAAAAATAAAAACAGTTGCCATCAAGTTGACTCTGACTCATGGTGACCTCAAGTGTGTCCGAGTAGACGGTGCTCCATAGGATTTTCAAAGGTGAATTTTTAGGAAGTAGATTACCAGAATTTTCATGTAAAGCATCTCTGGGTGGATTCCAGCTGCCAACGTTTTAGTTTGCAGCTGAGTTTGTTAATCATTTGCACTACCCAGAGACTGGATTCAAACTGAACAACATATATTTCTTGGTTTTGTAAACTTTAAATGCTCTATGAACATTAAACAATGATTTTTTTTTTTTTTTTCTGAGAGCAATCCTGAGCTTCTAGGATTCAAGTACTATACTGCTAACTGAAAGGTTGAATGTTGAAACCCATTGAGAATTTCTACAGGAGAAAGACCAGGAGATCTGCTTCTCTAGAGTTTACAAGGAAAAAAAACCCTATGAGGCAGTTCTATTCTGTCATGCATGGTGGCAAGGTATCAGAAATCAATAGCACCCAACAACAGAAACATCTCCTATAACAAGACAACTGAGTTTATGATCTTCTGGATCCTTCCGTTTACAAAGAAAGCCAAATTATCCTGTCTCATGTTCACCTTCTCTGTGACTCATAATTATCACCTATTTCAGAATGTATGTAGAAGGTGGTACAGAATGCTCTTCAAAATCTTCGTACAGAATGAAGTACTTCCATTTGTGTTTATGATTAGGTCAATTATTTTCTTTGTAAAATCTAAATTTTATTTGTCTATATTAAAATCTAAAATAAAATCTAAACTTTATTTCCCTATTCACATTATTGTCGTTGTTGTTAAATGCTTTCAAGTTGGTTCTGACTCAAAGTGACTCTGTATAGGGTTTCTGAGGAGTGGTTGATGGGTTTAAACGATTGGCTTTGTGGTTCAGAAATTACCTTCTGGGCCAGTGCATTATCCTGCACTGCCACTCCAGGACTCCTACACTCTATAGGTATATGAAATAATTTCTCTTTTTACTGAAAAGTTCATTTCAAGTCCTGAGATAACAGGGCAATTCTGATACATTTTTTCACATGTTTTTAAAACATGTGAAGGTCAGAAACAGTCTACAGTTTGAGAACACATGACCTACCACAGCAGAAAATTATTTGGTGATCAGAGAAAAATAGAGTGAGATGGAAGATCCTTTCTGTACATTCAGGTTTTTTGCAACTAAATTTTTATATCCTGGGATGATAAAAAAGTTAGACAAAATTGGAGGTGAAATATCTCATTTCTATCCTAGGTGGACTTGTTTTATAATAGGCCACTTTATTAAATATATAATATAACTTAGAAAGAAGAAAGAGAAGCAATATTGACTTGTCTCTAGCTGAATTTACTCACCCTATTTGACTGAACACTACCCTTGATGGCATAGTGGTTAAGTATTCAGCTGTTAATGGGAAAGTCAACAGTTCAATTACACCACCTGCTCCACAGGAGAAAGATGTGGCCATTCACTTCCATAAAGATTACAGCTTGCACACCCTGTGGAACACTTGTATGTTGTCCTAGAATCTCTTTAAGTTAACATTTACTCAATGGCAAATTTGGGTTTTGTTTTATCTGGCTGATCAACAGGACCAATCAATAAACCATCTCATGATGAACAGAGCAAAGATGAAATTTATCAAGGATTTCATATGACTCAGGTCCATAATCAATGGCTATAGAAGCAGTCATCAAGATACCAAATTATATACAGCATTGGACATATCTACTGCAAAAGATCTCTTTAAAGTGCTCAAAAAATAAGATGTTA